AAATACCGGTGTAGTTAAACACCGTTCCAAGATAATTAAAATCATTTACATTTTCAATCATATGTTATGGCCATTGTAGGTCCAACTCTCGTTAGGTAAATAAACTCTGCGCTTTCTAAACACCATAATTTTTGTTTTCTCCGCGTTTACCTCCAAAAATTAAATTACGTAACTGTTTGTCTGTGATCTACTAGTATATCATGTAACTGATTGTCTGTGACCTATACTCTACAAATGATTGTGTGTGAACTATATTACTATTTGTCTGTCCTCTTTAAAATAGAACTGAGATGATATTCATTCTACTATATTAATGTTTATAACACGTATCTTTTAATTAAAAGAACACTTTCCTTTAACGAATGTTACCTTTGATCTATGAACATACTTTGTAAATACAACATAACACTGTTAAGAGTACGATACATCAATGAAGGATGGGTTCTTTCTCTATTATAAATTACAAAATGTAGAATTGCAAAACATCACGCTACAATGCAATTGAATATGAATTATGCCAAACATAATCTTTCTCTAAAATATTCTCCATCAATATACAAAGATAAAATAATTTTGATTATAGAAACAGCAAAAACAACAAAATTAGCTGGGCAAAGTTAAAAAACGCTTGATATATTCTAGATCTCTTTTGAAAACAGTTTGCGAATATTGTTTACTTCAAATAAATGTTAAGAAACACAATGCGTTCATTGCACAAGGAAAACATGTTTGATATGGCAGAACAGAAAAAATCGACGTTCACTGTATAATCTGTTGATAAATTAAATACAATTGTCTCCCTACTGGTATAGACTCTAGTATATGCGGAAATTGCTTTTTATCACGCCACAATACAATTATAGCCGTATCAGTCAGGACAATAAACTTTCATTTGTAACTTCTTTTTTTATAAAAAAAAATCACATTTACTGCATAGAAATTGGTATGATTTTCGTTTTATTAAATTCTCAAAAATGATTGAATTAAGGTTTTATACAGATTTCGCCAACGTCTGTTTTGTAATAAAAAAACAAATGTTCTCAGAAAATCATGCTTGATTTATTAACAAGTATTTGGAAAACATGTTAGGGATATTTCTTCGAATCTCTCCTGCATAATACAGAAAACTAAAACATGTTTTCCAGATTTATGATAAAAAATAAAATGAATTCATCAAGTACGATCGTGACAAAGAAAACAGTTTTTGTTAATAGCTGAAGTGAAAACAATTTTATTTACATGTATAATATAATTTAAGAGATCTGTCTAAAAGACCACTCAATGGAGACAGAAGAACACTTAAAACAATTGATCTCTGATTATTAAATCAGTTTCTTAAAGATTATGATTTAGTAATGTAGAAGCATGATGCTTTTCCTTACTTTACTTATATTTACTTAATATATACATTTATATTAATTTCTGAATAATAAACCAAAAAACTTACAGTAAAATGTTAAATATTTCTTCAATACTCAATACTCGTAAGCATTAAGAAGTTGGATATTTTCAGCTGTTTCCGAGTCTGTTATGGTAAAACACGTTCACGAGTAAATGTTTTAAAACCAATTATATGTCATTCTAGTCAACCGTTATAGACAGGTAAACATATGTTTGCCAAGTTCACTCTCGGTCTACTGATCCCACCCAGCCCATTTCCTCTAACATTAATGCTTCTTGTCTTATCATCCAGGTTAACTTTTAAGCCAATATGTACTACATTGAAAGAACATGAGTATATTATTCAGCTTTAAGAAAATACAACATATTATTCATTGTCATAAAAAATAAATAATATTGTCTAAAATAAAGTCTCGTAAAGTAAGTAAGAATTTGAAACGAGTAACAAAGGAAACGCTAAGTCTTTGAATAGATGTTATTGATTAAAATGTATTTGAATTTAATTTATTTTTATGAAACGCGTTCTGGTGAATGTTGGAAAAAATGTGACGACGTCTGTTTGTCTTTAGGTAAACCTGCAAGATGCCCGATGAAAAAATTGTCCTTACCAATTTTAACAAGCTTTCTGCATGCATGACCCTCGTCTTCTTGTGTGTTAGTAGATTCCACACAACAAAGTCTATTCCCAAAATTGTTGAACATTTTCTTCGTTTATTTAGCGGTATATCGCGATAAATATGTTCTAAATCAATAGGTTGCTTATATGGTTATGGGATAACCAGTTTTTGTAAAAACATTAACTCATTGTAACAAAAATAATTCTCTGCAACATTCAAAATTATTTATCTGGTTCATTTATCACATCAAATCACTCAATATATCACCCCCGAAAAACGGTAATTTAGTTCCCAGTACATTTCTATGTCTCCTACGAATGATAACCAGTCACCAGTTCATTCACTAATATCCCATGAAGAATAAAAGAGAATAAATTCATCAATATCTATATTTATTTATATTTTTCATTCAATAGATGACCAATAATTCTAATGACTTCCTATTCTACGCCATATTTTCCAAGTGGTCATTATAACATTTACTTCGTTAGAGTTGTTTGTTCCTGATTTATAAGGATTCACGTAATATGGTTACCGTTAAAAGCGGCAAGATTTCAGTTCTTATACAAAGAGGATATAACGAGCCAAAATGAAAGAAAATTATGAATAATGGAGTCTTGCCGCAAATAAATAAATTGTGAAGATATAATCAGCACGTCTGCTGTTTTAATCACATTTTATAAAGAAAATTATTCTAAAAGAACTGTTTAAAATACTTGTAATTGTATGAGTATTAATTATATGTCTTGCCAACTGCACTTTAACTCAAAATGATAAGCCTGAAACGTTTCAAAGATATGCAAACAATACCTGTTACTTGGTTGGTAACGAAGAAGAAATACGACAATGAATAAAAATAAATTTACACAACGTTAAAGATGCATACCTCCAGATGAGCCAAAGTATGTCAAGAAAATCTAGCTGAATTTACATGTTTTATGCAAATAATAACTGATATTGCAGTTTTTACCAAATTTCTACTAACGCATTAAGTGGTTCATTTTCGCATATTCTGCGCCGTTTTTAAATTTTTCGTAGATTTTAAGTCCCGTTTGCAATGTGTAAATTACTTCCGTTGTCAATTTGACAATATTTTACTGTTTGATACATTTTTAAAAAAATCATGAAAATTAGCAATGAATCTTGAGGCATGCTGCTTGAAATGGACTGACGAATCTCTTAATTTTACTTTTCTTTGACATTTTCTTTTAACATTCGTTGATTTCATCCAGAAGCAGGCAGAATTTAATGTACCAAATCGATTTTTTAAAACTGGAATTTCACTCAAAAGCATATATACCAATTTCTATTTAAATGTGCAGCTAAAAGAGATGTGTGTTCTCATGAAAAGAACGCTGATTTATTGAGCAATTTGTAGCTTTTGTTGCTGTTCTAATTTCCGCCAAGAACGTCGAATGAATTCAAGATTGTTCAATCTACCTTATTTATAACGCTGTCAGTTATATATATATAACGAAATTGTACGAAACCATTGTATGATTATATCACAATGACGAATATGTACGGTAACTATTGTATGATTATATCACAATCACGAATATGTACCGTTAACATTGTAGGATTTAAACCCCAACAGTTAAAGAAATCCCGAGTAAGATGTTGGACAATTATATCTTTAATTGTGTCCAATATAATCATAATTTTGTACAAAAATTATTACTATGGAAACAAAAGTTGTTAAATAAAATTGCGTTGCGGATAGGTCTTAAAGGAACTGCACTTGGCAAAGAAATAAACTCATAAATTAATTGCAACTCGTTTTTGTGTGCTATTTTAAACTTTTAAAGTAACTAACAATGAACACTATCAATTTATAAATGTGCATTAGTTTCAAATCCAAGTGCACTCAGTTGCTAAAATATATAACATTGTATATCTTTGGTGTTGGAATGAAACGGTATTTGCAAACTTTTCTTTAGAGTGTTCAAATTGCAAGAATGACTTTTGTAAAAGATTTAGACAGACAAAAAATAACTACAGATTTTTATGTCTGTATTGGTTCATTAAAGTTTATAAACATATCGTTATTACAGATACACAAATAGGTAAGATTTGCTAACAAAGTTCTGATGTTGTCAAAATATCTGTTTCTTTTGTAAAAATGAATAAAAGATTATTTCGCAGTTAATGTTTATTCAATGTGAATAAAAAGATTAACAAAATAGAGCGAGCTAATGATAAGATAGTTGAAAACGATATCATCTGAGTACTTAAGGTTTGTTTAGAGCTAGCCAGTTCGCAGAATGTATTAGCGGTCATACAATAAGCACAGTATATACAGTTTCCAGTCATTAAATGTATAGGCTTGGCAAAATACGGATTTAAAACATTCACAATGTGGTGCAGTGCTTTTTAATAGAAGTAGTATTCGTATTATCAGTACAAACACAATTTAAGTTACAAGAAGAGATTCAATCTGTGTTAACACTCACTACGTATGCTGAATGTACTTTATGCCTGATTATTAAATGTTGTTGTATTTGACTCACTTTTATGTACACATTGTTCTCATGACTGCCCTCCTTTGATGTTTAACATTTTTATTGTTTCTGGTTGTTGGGCACATTATGCCTCAAAAATCGATTTTATTTAAAATTCTTAAGAAATGTGTAACATGTGTTTAGAAATGTCTTGATAATGGAAATTGAGCACGTTAGATGTTTAACTACTAAAGAAGTAGCGCTAAACATGCAGTTATGTGTTGTAAAGGTAGCAAAATGTAAGCAAAGATATATTTTACCTCCATTCAAATACTCATTCTCTATGATTATACATATTTTAAACATAACAAAGTCGTAAAAGAATTTATGTATATCGCAAATGAGTATTTTATAAAAATTGTAACAAGATACAAAAAAAACTGGGAAATGAAAATGACAGCATTTCTGAGGCATACTTGACCTTAAAAGTATAAATCACTCCTGGTTTCACTGAGAACTTCCTATCATCGTCAATTAAACGTTGAAGGTGACTTTGTTGTTGCTATCCATTCAGAGGAACGTTTCTTCACAGTGTGTACAATCTGCAGATTCTACATCTGAACGTCGGGTGAATTTAATCCGAAGGCCCGATCTGAGCTGACTGTCGATGAACCAAAAAAGTGGGACAACTCCAACAGTTGACGCTCCAATCCATGTTATAACCTGATTTAATCCGGTAGAAGGAATACATGATGCGGTCTGACAAAATGATAACAGAAAACTAATACACTGAAAAGGAAACCACATGGCCGCAAAGACTGTATTAACTATGCACAAAGACACAATGTCATCTTTTTTCTCCTTAATGGGCATTGAACTCGTGCTTGGCAACGGCCTTGACATTGGGGAGCATTCACTTTCAAAGTCAATATCATTTTGCTGGCTGTGATAGTTTTTCAACGACATGCGCGTGCTTTCTATAGTTCCAGGAGTAGGGGTGGATAACTGGATCTTCAACAATAGTAATCTGAATGTTAGTGCTATGATACAAAATAATGGAATGAAATATGTTACTAATGGACATAATATTGCAGATTCCTTGCTGATGATAACAAAACATTCTCCAGGTCTATTTTCATACGGAATTGTTCCAGATGTCCAAATCGGAACCACAACAACAAGGGCTATAACCCATGCCATACAAACAGTTATTGTTTTGAACGTCTTCTGAAATATCCAGGAATGAAGATTCGGCTGAATTATTGACATAATCCTTTCTACATTTGCATCATAGTTTGTAGACCTTTCTGTTGAAAATGTGTCAGGGTTAAATCGTATACATATACATGCACAGTGCGTTAACTGGAGTGCGGGTATTAGTTACCCGCACTCCAGAGCATGCCCATTGATTGGCTCATTTTTGCTGGGGTTTACATATTGTGACGGCAGAGAAAGGGAAAGCGACGGAAATGTCATATTCAGATGTTCGTTCATTGGTTCATTTTTGCCGGGGTTTCATATTGTGACAACAGGGAACGTGCTTTTATGTTTGACTATGATACAAAGAGAAAGAACACCAAAACACTCGGCAATCTGATTAATACTCGGGTGCTACGCCCCCTCGTACAAATCAGATAGCCTCGTGTTTCGGTGCTCTTTCTATTACTTATAATGATGATAATTGTGAATGAAGTAAATGGTAGCAAAACATCACTTATCACATATATTTTACACAAAGTTTGCCCTAAATGCCATTCTTTCTGAATATGATAAATTGTAAGCGGAAGTACAAATACACTTATGAATAAATTTGAAACCGATAAGTTTACTATATGACGATAATAGCCACACATTCGAGGTTCTTTGTTCCGAAAACATGCTTTTATTACTAGTACATTTATGATGAAAGACCACACTGACAGAAACACGGTTAATGCAGATGTATGCTGATGGATACTGTTTAGAAATTCCTCGTGAATTTCTGCTCGGAAATAGTTATAATCGTCGTACATCGAATCCGTTTCATAATCTCTGTTGATGTCGGGGTTGGAATACTTAACATTTCCGGTTTGTCCACCATCGACTGTTCCATTTTCATGGTGCGGATTCCAGTCAAAAGTAACCGTAGTATTGAGCAATCGTAAGTCAGTCATCTGAAATAATTAACAAAGTTTGTATACTAGATAGAATTAGCCTGAAGTAGAAAACGTTTTGTCAGAAATCAGATTTAAACCAGATTTGAACACAACAAAGCATAAGCAAATCTTAAATTTAACAAAAAACTGGATAGCGTTATAAATTGACTGTAATAGTGAATTGATTTAGATCTCATATACCGCATTTAAAGCTTTCTTTTTATCAGTATTCACGAAGTATTGATTCAAAAGATCGTGTTTTGTTCAGAAAGTCTTGAATATAAGATCCTACGTAAAGCACAATTTATCTTTTATTGATAGTGCACGAAATTGTCATTTGGTTTCGCTTTATATAGAATGTGATATTCATAAATCTGCTAAAATTATCCGGAATTTTCTGGTAAAAAATGTAAGAAAACAAAAAAGCAAGGTTTCACACTTCTACCTGCTGATAATGTTTATTATAATTTTCATGCTTCTAATTTGGACCAACATACTTTTTATATCTGTAATCAATTTACAAAACACGAGAGTCTTATTCTCTGGAGAAAATTAATAAATAAGACGATTGGAAAATAAATATGTCTAAAGGTCAACGGTTTTCTTTTCCAATACTGCTTCGAGGGTTGTCCTTGAAGTTTGCGGAATAAGTATTGTCAGGCATTTTAATTGGCTTAAAATTTCTAGTGTTAAAACCTTTTTTTTATCACATTGAGTATTTGTTAAATATTTTCATTATTCAAAAGCTATTAGATACTCACTTTCTGTTACCGAAATATTGTACGTGTATGTAATATAATATTTGTTAAAGCGAAGTTCTGCAAACATTCAGGAAAACCCTCGTATTTATATTTAGTTTACAGATAATTGGGCCATAAACATTTATGTAACCTACGTAAACTCGGTCAGTGGTGGTATTATTCTTTTATAAAGGTAATACGAGTATACGAGGGTTGATCAATATATTCATGGACACTATTAATAACTTAATAATTAATCAAGATATTATGAAGATTTTTTGCTATTTAGGAGAAGAATTTAATACTATTCAAATATATTGTGATTTTTTAAAAACAAATCTCATTTTGTTCATTATATGTATCGCCATAGCAACCCTATACCGTACGAACGCCGCAGCTCAAAAAGAAGTTATGTTTATCATTTTGAAATACTTAAAAATTGTCCTTATTTTGGCGTGCTTCTTTAAAATATGAAATTGACGGCAACGTTCCTTCATATCGTTTATAGAACATTTAAAAAAACAAGCGTCGCTACTATTTCGAGATGTTAATGGAGACAGGGGTGTGTCACCAGAGAGGAGCACGACGTTGTTGAAGCAGAGGGCAGTAATTAAGTCTGTGTAAATCTTGGTATGACGCCAAAACAAACTAAAGAAAACATGGAAATTGTATCTGGAACAAAAAAAAGTGTCTTATTCCTTAGTTTATAAGTGACACATACACTTCCGTGAGGGTAGAGAAGAACTTCAGGATGATAAGAGATGCGGCAGACCAATTAAAACTTGTTGCGATGCGAACGTTATGCGAGTGAAATTGAAGGCAGAGTTAAAGGGACACAAGTTAACCGGGTTCCATGATTTGCAGTCCATAGCATTGTCTGTGTTGCGTTCATTTGATATTTCATTGTATAAGAACATTTTCAGTTGGTGGGTACACAGGCATGAACGATGTGTAGAAATTGGTGCTGCATTGTTTTTGAGAAGATGTAACGCCGACGTCACGACGTAACGCAAGTTGCAAATGAGCTGCGGCGATCAGCTTTACATGTATTTCTGAAAACTGTCATTTCGGATAAAATATATGGATTATTTATCTGAAACTTACACATCAAATTGATAAATGATTGAATAAATGTCAAATATAATTATATTAACTTTCCTTCCCCAAAAAACAATTTATGGAGTGTGTCCACGAATTTATTGATCAACCCTCGTATAAGCTGTTGAAAGACTTAGTATTTCTTAACGTCTTCTCTCGAAAATTCAACATATTTATCTTTCAAAAGCAAATTGTCTAATTTCATCATTAGAATATATTTGACATTTTCAGAGTTTTGATATTTATTGTTCAATGATAGTCACCTTCTATGTCAACACTTCCACATATGATACATTATACTCATATTGCTGTTAACTTTATTTTTGTCACTGTTCTACGGACTAAATTGAATTGTTTTGATTTAAATTGCTAGATTTAGAATAAAAACTTTTAGAGTAATTTGTTGCATTTTTGCTTTATATATTCTTGGTATATTAAGATGAAATGCCTAAAACTGTCCTTGGATTAAGACCAGTATTTTTGCTGTCTTTTTTGCTTTTACTATTTTTTATTGCTGTTCTGTTCAAATGTGTTAGTTTCTCGATCTTTTACAAGAGATATTTGTCATTTTCTTTCGGTCTTTCAAAATAGATCGTTGTCATTATCTATTAGTGTTTCCAAACAGAAAAAACGCCAATTTGTGTTGGTCTTTCTTAATAAAATAAAGTCATTTTTATTACTGTTTAGAGTCAGAATAGCGTCGTTTTGTGTCAGTGTTTTTTTTAAAAGAATAACATAATTTTCTGCTAGTGTTTCGAGAAAGAATAAGGTTATTTCGTATTTAATGTTTCAAAATAGATTAACGTAGTTTTGTGCTTAGTGTTTCAAAATAGATTAACCTCATTTGTGTTTATTGTTTTAAGATAGATTAACGCCATTTGCTATCGTACATATATACATGGTAACAAGTTTGATACAAAGATTCGAAACAAAAAAAATATTAATATTGTTATTTACATTAAAATGAACTATTTGACTATTTAGATATCAAACTAGCCTTACCTAATAATAAGAGAACATTTTTATAACGTTTGTTATATATAAATTGCACCTTATCATTTTCAACACCAAACACCGTAAGTAAGGATTCGATTAGTACATTGTTGCGATGGAGCAAACAGGAGTGTTTCTACAGAGCGAATAATAAAGATGCCAATAATTTTCTTTACAATTTGAGGACTGACTGATGTATAAACTTACAGTAATGTTTATTGGTTTTATCTGCACATCTCATTGCATTCTGGGCTGAAAATCAAGTAAGTATTCTTAGTTATTTAAAAGATTCTAAGATAGATTATTATTCTGTGTGCTTTAAGGTAAATATTCTCTGATCACTTATTCTTCTATGATTATATTCAAATTTCACAGATTTCGTTATACGTTTCACTGTATAAATAAATGACTTGAAACAAATGCAGTTAAAAAGAAGTTACAGATGTGGCTAGATGTGATACAACTATGATTGCAAACAAACTATTATTTTACTCAAGCCTACTTGTGGCTACATGATCTACCCATGGACCCGTGCCGGCAATCAAAATTTCAGTTAAAATGATGAATGGTATTTTCCTGAACTGAAAGATCGACAAGTATATTTAATATTTTGAGCGGTATAAGGGTAAAAGCAATTTACCAAAACATGTTAAAGTTTTTAATGTTTTTAATTAAACAAGTTTTCTTTTTTAAAATGTCGTCCATATCCATTGTATTATTTCACGAGTATTTACTTTATTACGGTTCCTGCAAAGTAAACTTGATTATTATAAGGTGATATTTAATTAAGAATAACAAGTGCTAGTAATATTTAAATACATATTTGTATCCTAACATATCCATTTAATAATTGATTACTTTGAAATTGTGTTATTTATCGCGCTTTGTGAGTCAATGAAATAATAACCAAAACTTTGGTAAAACAACGATAAACTCTGCATTTTTTTATTTGAAACAGACAAGTTTAGATGAATCATTTCAATTCTACTCAGAAATGTTCTGAAACTGATCATTACTGATTTATTAGCGATGAATTGTACTAAAATGAACTACTTCATAATTTATATTTAATCTTACAAAAATAAAGGAACATGTATTCTGGTTGGATAACTCTATCTGATTTTATCATAGTTTGCTATCATTTTTATTACCATGCTTTATATAAAAGATACCATATCTAAGTTGTTTAATAATATTTTGTTATTGTTTGGTTCACTTTATGTACGAAGTTTTTTCACTGACAGCATGATTACCTACAAATACACGTGAAATATATAGTTCGGCATTTTTATACGTCTTCCTTGTCAAATATTATCTCATGGATATCTTCTCACTGCGAGAATAAATACAAGTGCAGGCTTTATACCTCAGTATAAAGTGTCTAATTGTATTCATATGTTGAAAACATTCTTAAGTACATTTTAAGTTCAAATCATGGAAAAATGAATTGATTTTAAGTTTCCTATTGATGCGAATTCATTTATTAAATAAAAAGTACATTTTACTTTGGAATGAAAATAAAGTTTAAGAAGTTGCCGGTAGATAACACTTGTTAACTCTTCTGTACGCTATCTGTGAGTGCTTTCTTTTTTCCATCATAGTTTGATAATTAACTGCAATTTAATTAAATAAAAAATATATTTCCTACAATCA